AAGTCCCAACTGTAACACAAGATGCAAGAAAGATAAAGCCATGCCCCGGAACTAGTTTACTGGGTGTAACAAATATCCATCAAGTCGAAAGAGGAAGGTTTCATTGTTGACGGAGGTGCCCATGTTCCTGGGAAGATGAATGCTTCTGTTGGCCCAATATCTGAGAAGGTCCAGAGGCTCTCAGCACTGGAAGCCCTCTGCCCTAAGAAGCTGCGCTCCCAGCTGAAGGCTGCACACGCAGGGCCAGTGGTCGGCAGTGTGCAGAACACAGACTAGGTCTCTGCTGTTGGTGGTGACTCATGAACACGACAGGAAGGATCCTCCAAATCAATCATGTATTAATTCCACAAATATCGATGGACCTACCATGTGCCAGGCACTTTTGGGGGTTATGACAGTCAACAAGACAGGCATCGTTCCTGCTTCTATGGAAATGCAATCCAGAAAGTCCCACCATTCAAGTCAGAAATGGGAAGGAATGGAGGGAAAAGTAACAGGCGGAGGCTAGAAAGAAGGGAGGAGAGAAATAAAGGACAAGAGCCCCCTCTCTAGAAATTAAAAAGCTTATATACTTCCTGTGCATGCTCCTTAGAGGTGCCCTGGCAGTACAGTGAGTTAAGCACTGGGTTGTTAACTGCAAGGTTGGCAGTTCAAGCCCAACAGCTGCTCTGTGGGAGAAAGGTGAGGCTGTCCGCTCTTGTAAAGATTTACCGTCTAAGAAACCCTATGGAGTTCTTCTGCTCTGCCCAGTAGGGTTGAAATGACTTGGAATAGACTGGATGTCAGTGGGTTGGGTTGGGTTTATGATTCTCAAGGAATTCCCTATAATAATATGACAACACAAATCTCCCCCCTTCTGGGCCCCCTCCCCTCCTAAAAAGCCCACTGCCCTGGAGTTGATTCCGACTCCAGTGATCATAGAGGGGAGAGTAGAATGGCTCCGTCTGCTTTTCCAACGTGGTCATTCTTTACAGAAGCCATAGCCTCATCTTTCTCCCATGGAGCAGCCTGTGGACTTGAACCACCAACTTTTGCAACTAGCAGTCCAACTGTAACACACTGTGCCACCATGGCCCTGTAATATGATAACAGTAGTCCTTAATTATATTCTATCATGCAATGTTCTCATTAATCTTGTGATAGGCTAGGAAAATATCCTCATTGACAAACGAGGAAACCTGGTCTAGAGGGATTGATTAGGGTTCACATCACACTGAAGTAGGACCCAGGTGTACTGGCCTTCCATCTATGCCAGTGCTTCTCAACCTTGCTCACACTGTGACCCTTTCATACAGCTCCTCATGTTGTGGTGACCCCCCAACCATAAAACTATTTTCATTGCTACTTCATAACTGTAATTTTGCTACTGTTATGAATCAGGCTATGTCTGTGAAAGGGTGGTTTGACCCCCAACAGGGTCAAGTCCCACAGGTCGAGAGCCACTGGTCTGTGCCTTTTCCACAATGCCACAGTGCCTCTGAATGTAAACTCTGGTAACTGGTGCAATGAGAGATGGAATTCATATGTTGTAAAAGTCATTATGGAACAGCTAAAATCATACTGGAACAGTTCTTCTCCTTCAGACCCCTCTGTCATTCTCTGTCCTGATCCGTGCCCCGGGAGGCGGACTGCTACAGAATGCTTCACCAAGTTTCTCATGCTGGTTGATCTGTTTGGGTTCAGCCAATAGGAAAGAAGAGAACAGAGATCAGGGAGGAAAGGGAGGTTGGTACATGACTTTCTTGCTCTTTCCTCTCTTTACTGTTTCTAGAAGTTGCTGGGCCCCTTCAGAGTATAGCTTCCCTGAATGTCCCCTTCACATTCTAACTCGTTTGCTACTCGTATCTCTTCAAACCTAGAGGTGGTAGCAAATTCCCATAAGTGCTACTCTCTTGGTGCCTCATTATCTCTTATTTCCTTAACTTGACCATATCTCTTCAAGGAGTTCTTTCATTGAGGTCTCTTTAGGGGACCATCTTGGGTAAAGACTATTTCCTGTGTACAATAAAAACCCCAAACCAAACCCAATGCCATCAACTCAATTCTGACTCATAGTGACCCTATAGGACACACTAGAACTGCCCCTTTGAATTTCTAATATTTTAAATCTTTACAGGAATAGATAGCCTCATCTTTCTTCTATGGAGCCATTGGTGGATTAGAACCACCGACTTTGTGGTTAGCAGATCAATTCATAGATCACTGCTCTACCAGGACTCTTCCTTGTATACACTGATTTAAAAAAAACAAACTCACTACCTTTGAGTAGATGCCAATTTATAGTGACTCTATAGTACAGGGTAGAGCTGCCCTAGTGAATTTCTGAGATTGTAACTCTGTAGGAGTGTAGAAAGCCCCATCTTTCTCCTGCAGAATGGCTGGTGGTTTCAAACTGCTGACCTTGTGGATTGCAGCCCAAAGCATGACCATTATGCTATCAGGGCTCCTCAAGGTACTGACAAATGCTTACTGAGTGAATTTGAATTCTAAAATAATAATGTCCATAAGGAATTGAAGGTTCTCTGTGGTTTACTGTAGTTAGAGAATTTATATGGGGGGTGGGGTGGTGACCCCTGCTTCATTATTTGTACAACTCATCATGTTCTTTTTAGCCTGAGTGCAACTGAACCGGTGATGTGGGTGAATGTAGTCAGGCAAGGGGCATGCATGGGATTTCTCTCGCGTAGCCCTATGTGCTTTGTGTTTCATCTTGAAACAGTGCAGGGCGGTCTGTTGCTGGTACTCTGGATTTTGTGGACAAATCAACCTGCCATGTCAATCTGCTTCAGGAATGGTGGCGTCCTTCCTAGACAAGGAGTGACGATGGCTAAGCCCTTCAGGCTGCAAACTGGGCTAGTGTTAAAAGATAAGCTTGCAGATTAGAGACCTTGAGTTCAGAGTTAACACAAGCAATATGGGCATTTGCTGTAGAATTAGTAGCCCTGGCAATGCCTCTAGTCTGTTTCCATGGAGATGTTGCCATGGTAGATATAGCAGAAATTTCTCCAAAACAATATTTCACTCTCTTAATACTGTCTTCTTGATTGACATTGAATGCATTTAAATCTGAGAATCTGCACTAATTGGTGGATTTTTTTTTTCCCTTCTCACTACTTGGAATGTCTATTCTCACTTAAAATCCATTGACTGCTCTCCTCTTGCTCTGGAGGATTGCCAAAAATTGGAGAGAAGATCAAACGCATGACTACTTGAATACTTTGATTTTATAAAATCCAAATTAAGACAGATGACAAAGGACTTTTTTTAAAAAACATTTTATTAGGGGCTCATACAACTGTTATCACAATCCATACACACATCAATTGTGTAAAGTGCATTTGTACATCATTCTCAAAACATTTTCTCTCCACTAAAACCTCTACTTTTTCCCCTCCCTCCCCGCTCCCCCCTCCCTCATGAGGACAAAGGACATTTTTTGGGGCATCCAAATATATATTTACTATGGAACACTTTTCAAGAACACAACTCAGAATGAGAAGAAACAGCTGCAAACACCTATTAATATTTGGAGCATTGACTATCTGGAGTATGAAGTTTGGAAATTGCCAAAAATGAAATGAAATGCATAAAAATCAATGTCCTAAACATTAGAGAGCTGAAGTAGATTGTGTTTGACCATTTTGAACCTGGAAATCATATGGTCTCCTATTCCAGGAAGGACAAGTTGAAGAGGAATGGCATCACGTTCATTGTCAACAAGAATAGTTCCAGATCCCTCCTGAAGTCCAGTGCTGTCAGTGATAGGATGGTATCCATCTGCCTACAAGGAAGACCCATTCATATGACTGGGACTCAATGTTGTGCACAAACTACTAATGCCAAAACTGACGAAACTGAAGTTTTTAAATCAAATTCTGCCCTCTGAAACTGATACCCAAACACACACCCAAGATGCATTGGTAATTACTGATAATTCGAATGTAAAAGTTGGAAATAAAGAAGGGTAGTTAGTTGGAAAACATGGCCTTAGATGCCAGAAGTGTCGTGATAAAAATCTGCAAGACTAATGAAAATTCATTGAAAATAACTTTTGTAGAAATAGAAGAAAGAATTAGGAGGCAAAGGACATTTATAGAGGTCTAAATACAGGCATGTACATATGTAAATATATTTTATATAATGATAGGGAAATAGATCTA